CATTTTATGAGGTTATGTACAGTTTTCTTTATGCAATTGTAGCATTTGTTGTGTGTATTTGACTGGTTTTCATTTGGTGGTGCGTGTTTTGCTTGAGGATTTGAGAAACAACACAAAGAATTGTAATTTTATAAATGTTTGTTGTTTATTTATTTCAGGATTTTGAATCGAGCTCGAGTTGTGTTTAGTTAATGAGTTGAGTCGGCTCGTTAGGTTCAAGAAATAGGGGCTTCAACGTAGTTTCTTGAAATCTTAGCTTTAGTTTAGCTCGTTAAAACTCAAGTTCAGTTCATCAATTTTAATATATGAGCTGTTCTCAATGGGCTTCGTAAAACATCAAATATCATGATTTTGAATTCATTTCGCTTACACTTGTCGACTTTTGGATAACAAAATTAATTATGATCTTTAGCTCGTTTATATTTCTATAAAAGCTCGAATAAGTTTGAGTTTGACCAGTTTAGATGAATAATAAAGATAAATATAGTGTTCACCTCGTTTATACATCTAAAAAGTTTCGGTGATATAAGTAGGTCAGTAGAAGACTCAAAATAAGAAAAGGAGAAATGTCAATCGGTCAGAAAGAAAATATAATGTTTTTAGATTGTTTAGATTGAGTTGAAAACATCACATTAGATTGAAATTAAGGCCATGGAATTCGACTTTAGAGCAATGAAGACGGGATTTGTTCACGTATGGTATCAGACTATCAGTCAATCAGTACAGAAAAATCTCTCATCTTTATCTTAGCTATATATTAAACGTGTTAGAGATTAAATGATAGATTCGTATGCTTCGAATGTTGGACAATGTAAAATTTGCATTTCGTAATTACTTTGTATATATATTATTGCTTTTGAATAAAGTTTGACATTTGACATAAATATTTGTCTCATTTATCTATTTCTCAAACTAAATCTTACCATACAATATTGATATTATTTATTTTTATTTATTAAATTTCATATTTTTATAATATTCTAAAAGTTAATAATTCCTTTTATTTGTATTCAACTTTCTTAGATATGATTTTTCAAATTAATCATCTTTTGACAATCATCAATTTGACATGCAGATATACAAATTTAAAATTAATTTCATATCTTTAAAAAAAAAATTAAATTTATCCCCCAAATCAAAAAATATATACAAAAATATAGATTTAAAAAAAAATATTGATTATTTTCATAAAATATTATTTTTTTAATAGTTTTTAACAAAAATAAGCAGAGATTAAGCATAAACACATAATTAATATAACAAAATTCTAAAACTTGTATTTCCACTTAAATAAAGTATAAAAAAGAATTGAACATTATTATGATGTTGAAAATAAAAGTAATACGAAAATATCAAATTTGGAAGTGATAAAAAAATATTAGTATAATTCATAAAGTCAAAGAATATATGTTGATATACGTTAGTTAATATTTTTAATGATTGAATAATATTAGTTAGAAGATACAATAACAAGATAAGCATGACACAATTTCTTGTCCTATTACTTTAATATTTTATATGATATTTAAAAATATATCTATAAATAAGCATGCAACTCATAATGATTTCAACTTATCCAATTTTTAAATAAATCAAAATTAAATTAACATAGTTGTAAATAATGTTTGTGTTAGACATATATAATTAAAATGATTAACATTTTTGATAATTTGAGATGAAAATATGCATGTCATGTTAAATAGTTATCACCCTGTTAGTTATTACTACCTCCTATTTTTAATATATATCGTTTTGATAAGTTGCACATTAATTAAGAATATATTTTTTTGTCAATAATAACTTTATTTAATGAAGATAGAGATGAATGTTTTGAGAAAAGATGAAGAGTGAATATGAAAAGACGTAATGTATTTATTAGCCGGTAAAAATGGAAAAATATGTACAAAAGATTCAAAACGTCATTTATTTGGTTAATAGTTGATAAAGCCAAAATGACATCTAAAATAATAGGAGGAAGTATTATTTATTGTACATTCATTTTTACAATTTCACAATAGAAGTATAAATACTTTTACATACCTAAATTTTCTTATAAAAATGTTTTTTTTTTCCAAATTTACACNTTTCTTACTGGGAATGACATTAAATTATACAAAACTTTTGAACAAAGCCGTCTTAGCTCAGCGGTAGAGCGCGTGGCTTTTAACCACGTGGTCGTGGGTTCGATCCCCACAGACGGCGTTTTTTATCGAAAATACTTAATTATTATTATTATTTTTTTTTATTGGACTGTCCAGTTTTGGTTTCATTACAAGTTTTGGTTTTGTTGGGCCTTCATCATGATTTCAATATTGAACTCTCTTGCCAAAAGCCGACGATGACACTGAAGCTGAGCCTGCCTGAAAGCCCAATGAATATTGTTGTCTTCATATTAATCTTGAGTCAAAAGAGAATAGATACTTTGACCATTATAGTTAAAACTTAAAAGAGACCTCTTTTTTTCTCGAGTCTTACACATGAATGTTGTGTGCTACATACGGAATTGATGTAATCTTTTGTTTTGTCCCAGGCGCTAAGATTTGCAGTTCCTTTGGGCCCTTTTTGTTAAAAAAGAACGGTTTTCTTCTTCAAAGGCATAGATTCTACTTTGAATTGTCTTTAGTTTTAGATAAAAAAAACTATGGATTCTACTTTGAATTGTCTTTAGTTTTAGATTAAAAAATTATCTTGTAAGAATCCTAAGCTCAAAAGCATATAGCAGCCACATATCTTTTGTTTGGTGAAAAGCTCTTGAGAAATTTCGTGGACCGAACCGATGACTTTTTTATGTAGATATTTATGAATCGGTGGTGACAAAAAGTTTATTATATTAGTTGGTTTGACTAAAAAATTCAATTAGTGATTTGTCAAATAAACGTTTGGTAAATAACGAAAATTGTTGGTTATTATGTTCTATTGCTTTTTCTTGAATCTCCTATCTCCTCTTCCCAAAGCCCCCGATCCAAAAAAACTTTTAACCCCAATAATCTTTTATACTTTTAATTAGGGAATTTGATTGGTCAAACTTTTAAATGAGGTCTAATATGCTAATTTAGCACTAATCCGCTAATAAACAAACGAGTCCAATGTATTCCTATTTGAATAAGGCTGTTAAAATGTTCATCTATCCACTAATTTAACCCCAGTCCGCTACCAAATTATTTTTATTAACGTATATGTAAGAAACGGGGAGAATATATGTAAGAAACGGGGAGAAAACGGATGCGGTCCCACGCACGTGAAGCGCAACATAAGCAGGGAAAAGCCCAGATGAAGCCCAAGTGGGGTTCCATCCCAAAACTAATTGTTGGAAAGAAGAGTAGTCCATTAGACTTATAAATTTGGTCTATTTTCTCTATATAAACGATGTGGGACAACTCACAAGTGATATTCTAACAGTATATAAGAGAAGATTCATATAAATCGTCAGTTAAAGATTAAAGGTGTTCATCTGAAAAATAATTGATATTTTAAATGGTATCTCTTAGATCATTTTTCCCCCCAAGAAATGAATCATATCCCTCCTATATACTAATTCAGAATGTGTTGAGCCTAAGTGGCATGCTCGCATGCTTCGGGATCCTATGTGGCAAAATTATATGTTTCTTTATTAGGCTTTGGTAGATTTTAATTTACTTTCAATCCAAGATCCAGAATATCCATAAATATATTGATTATTTATGGTCATGTTACATGTATTAATTGATTTTGATATCATTTCTTATTATAACCATTGAATTGTAAATGTATTTTAAAAGTTAATAACTTTTGGTTTTTTTTTTCATATATAGTATATAAATTAATCATCTTTTGATGAGTTTCGATTTAACATCCATATTGTATGTATAAAAAATAAATTATATTTATCTTTATAACAATAATAAAATTATTTTTTAATATTAATTAGAAAAATAAAATTATTTATCAATTAATATATTTATATTTCAAGTAGTTATATGATATAAGTAATAAAAATTACTATAATATAACACATGTAAGTCGTACAAGTAACAAGTGTCATTTTAAAATATATAATAATATATTTTTTGTAGGAAAGTAAATAAAATTTAAAATAATCTTTCTCATTACTTTTAAAATTTAAGATTAAGTTTTCCAAAACCACACGTGTAATACACGAGAGTTGTACGAATATAAAATCTATAAAGCAATTGGCCAAATCATTTTTGGATAAAAAAAACATTATTCTAAATTCTTTTCCACATTTGGACTAACTAGTTTTTGTATCACTAGTTGTGGCTAATTTTGCAATATTGCATTCTGTGTCAACTTGCTAACTTGGAATAAAGTAAAAAAAAAAAAAATTGCTTGGCTCATACTAAAAGTTCCAATTGAAAAATAAAAAAAATATCTTGGAATAATCTCAATTTACCCATTCAGTCTTTTTTTTTTTTTTCAAAAGAATCAAAATCATGTGGTGCATGAGGATAAATTTACTCCAATTTTCATCAAGAGCTGCACACAGAACTACAGAAGGCACAATGCCAAAGGAGGGTATCATAGTATTAGATTTTCTACTTTATGAATGGATGAGAGATAAGAAAGAGATTTGTTCTCTTTTAGGTTATTATATTTTAATTTTTCTGTTATTTTCTCACAGAAGTTGACATCAAAGATAAGGGTACATATATTCCCTGTTGGAGTACCATTTTTAGTAGATTTAGATATGGTCATCTAGCAATATATGTTTGTTTTATGCATCACAAATGATTCTCTTTTTGACTATAGAAATATAAAAATAAATTTCCTGAACTGTTTAGGTGGAACTTGGAAGTTACTCTCATTTTTCTCAAGTATGGCCAAAATATGCATTATATTATATTCAGAACAATTTTTTATGTGAGATAACTTAACTGTTAGACGATTCGATTTGTCTTTTTTAAAAAATGCATATTTATACTGAGAAAATCTTCAATTGTAGTTGTTCTCAACCCTCAATTGGGCACACCAACCTCCAAATATAATTAATTTTAAAGTTGCTATTATTTGTGTAAATTTACTTGAGCTGAAATATTAGGTATACTGTCAGAATTTCCCACCAGATATTTGTTTCTGCAACAAAATACTATTAATGTGTAATTGTGTAAATAATGTGGTGGGTACATTGAAAAAAAAGATCAAATATTATTATGTCCATCCAAAAATATTAAATGAACAAAAATAAGAAAAAATGAAAGCAGTACAAAAAACAACTCAATGCCAGTAGAGCAGCACATGAAATTCTGAATGCCCACAGCTTATAATCTGACCACAATGAAACTATTTTCTGGGCCCAAAAACTTCTATCATACAATCAAATCTACCAAAACTTATTCAGCTCGTCAATTCATTACCTTTATGAATTATATGGGCAATGAAATGGAGTTTGGTACAGTCTAATAATAGTAACTAAGAGTGATGGTAGCTTAAAAGTTGGGGCACTATTATATTTCCCATCCCTTGTGACCACAAATACTACTCTCACTCAATGACTTTATGTCAAATTTGTTATGTAAAATTATTAGTATAAAAAATAAAAAATCCCTTTGATTGTATAAATGAAGAATTTTTCTAATTTAAGTGTCAATTTCTTATGGTTGATAATCCTATTACTCTGACTGATTGTGTTTTGTAATTTTATATGTCAATTATTGTCCTTAATTCGTAGTTGTTTAGACTTTTATTCTGTCTATTAGAACTTTTGAATACTCGATACCTTAAATTATAAATATTTTTTATAACTTAATATATAGCTTTTGGATACAGAAGTCCACTTGGATAAAATACTTATATTTGGTGCTAAATTAAGAATAGATTTTTGGATAAGTTGTTTTTCTAAAACGCTCATTATGTAGAAGTAAAGGATGAAGACTTTTGAAGAAGTCCATTTTAGATAAGTTTATTTTTAAATGGACTTTTATAAAAGTGCTCACAAACAAACACATAATATCAAATTGATCGTCTATCGATAATTTTTAATTTGACACCCATATTATGTACACAAATATTTGTAGTTTTAAAGTGCCTAACGTGGGTGTTCCTTACCTCATAGTAGTGCTATAAACGAACCTAACCAAAACAGAGCTTGTGTTGTTCGAACTCGTGTTCGTTTACGTTCGAACAGTGTTCGTGTTCGTTTATTTTTCGAACAGAAAATAGTGTTCGAGCTCATTCATTTAATTGTTCATTAAAATTCGAGTTCGTTCGTTTTCGAATAATTTAATACATAAACTTTATAAATATGTTTTATTTACTCGAAATTTGTTCGTTCGAACTCGAAAATAAAAAATAAAATAAAAATATTTTTATATTGTAGATTTTTTATAAAAAATATTATGTAAATATATAAAAAAATAAAATAAAATTATATTGAATTAATGTTTGTGAATATACCGAACATTCGCGAATGAGCTCGTGTTCGTTCGATTATTAAACGAACCTAATTTTCTGTTCGACTCGATTCGATTAACAAATGAACGAGTTTTTATCGAACACGAACGAGCTTTTGTTAACGAATGTTCGGTTCATTTACAATTTTATTTCATGGCATGTCTCATGAGAAAGGCTTGATCGTAAAGAATGAAAAAAAGAAATAAATAAATAAATAATAAACACTCTAGTAGGAGTGTAGGATAGTTGGTTAGTTCCATTAAAATAAGACCAATATTCACGAAATTGCAATAGAACAATTAAAGGGAAAAGAATATTTGATAAGAAAAAGATACTGAAGGAACATGTAATCCAACAATCGTACGTACACCATTAAAACATAATTAAGCAATTAATTATATCAACTTTTGCCTAATTTAATACAATACATAGACTACTAGTACAACAATTAGGTATACCTACATGCATACTTTCTAGACGTACATGAATTTTTACGTGAAACAATTTAACTAGTGGATGGCTGACTCCTTATACTTTGTTAATAAAAAATTTAGAAATACATACTTATAATATAAAATACAATACATTGTTTCTCATTGTTTTTTAAAGCTTAATATGCATATTTATCAAAAAGATTATGATTGATTAATGGGTTAATGTCGTAAATCATGAAAGCCGAAACTTCTTGCAAATTCCCCTTATATATTAATTCAGAACGTGTTGAGTTTAAATAGCAGACTCGCGTGTAGAGATGTTAAACGGGCTAGCCCTAGCGGGCTTCGGACTAAACAGTCCGGGCCTAAAAAGCCCGGATTAAAACGGGCTACAAATAAAAGGACATAACCCTAAACCTAACAAACTTCAGACTAAACGGTCTATACGGGCTATAATAATAATAATAACAACAACAACAACAATAATAATAATAACAACAACAACAACAACAATAATAATAATAAATTACAACATCTAGTTAACGGTTTTTCAACGGCTTACCACTATATATATATACAACTACACTTCATATATGTATACACATTACAAACTCTTAAATAATATATTGTTTCTTAATAGAAAAAAAAAATGTTCGAACTATTACTTATAACTACCATTTGACTAGTTATTTGGTACGCTTCGGGTATTTTCACAATATAGCATACTGATGAATTTATCTTCTATCACTATATTCTATGTGTTAGGTCTTTATCTCATTTGATTTTTATTAGCCGTTCTGATTGGCTTAAATATTTTGTTGTGAAATAGAATAAAATATGTTAATAATTATCTATCAAAATAATGATAATACATTATAACTCATAATTACATGTGAAGTAGAATAGCAAAATTGTAATATACAAGAAAACATATACACCACCCAACCCAAGTTAAACAGGCTAGCCCTAGTGGTTTTCGGGCTAGCCCTAGCGGGCTTCGGGCTAAACGGTCTGGGCCTAAAAAGTCCGAATTTAATTGGGCTGCTAATAAAAAGCCCTAACCCTATTTTTTTCCAGGCTAAACGGGTCGGCCCGTCGGGCCAAGAACCATTTAACATCTCTACTCGCATGCTTTGAGATCATATGTGCCAAAATTTTAGGCTTAGGTAGATTTTAATTTACTTCCAATCCAAAAATAATTATCCGAATTATCCATAAATATGTTGATTATTTATGGTCATGTTACTTGTATTAATTGCATTTTAATATCATTTTTTATTATAACCATTGAAAGTAAATTTATTTTAAAAGTTAATAACTTTTGTATTTTTTTATCAGTTTTAGATATATAATATATCAAATTAATCATCTCTTGATGAGCTTCGATTTAACATCCATACCGTATGTGTAAAAAAAAATACAATATATTCATTTTATAACAATAATAAATTATTTTTTAATATTAATTAGAAAAATAAAATTATTTACTAATTAATATATTTATATTTCAAGTAGTTATATATAAGTTATAAATTACTATAATATAACACATGTAAGTCCAAAAGTAACATATGTCATTTAAAAATATATAATAATATATATTTTTTGTAAAAAAAGTAAATAAAATTTAAAATAATTTTTTTTATTAATTTTATAATTTAAGAATAATTTTTTTAACAAACACCCGTGTAATACACAGGTGTTGTACTAGTAAATTAAGAGAACAAATGGTGAAATAATAATAATAATAATAATAATAATAATAATAATAATAATAATAATAATAATAATAATAATAACTAAGCATAGTTCATTACAATTATAATTAGAAGCTGCGGGCTACACTTTTCCCCCTTTTACTGCAGCCGCCTCAGCATCCACACACAAGAACACAATTTTCTCCTTTCACTTTTCCCTTTTTACTCCCAAAGCAAAAAGTAACTAAACCCGCGCAAAAAAAGTGGTGAAAATAAAAATAAATTAAAAGACACTCCACGCGCCATTACTTTATCCTACTCTGATAATAAAGTCTATATATAATTTTTTTCCCCCAAATTAAAGGAAAAAGATAAAATCCCGACCGGGTCCGGATCTTCCTCTTCAGACACGGAAATTCTTGCCCGAGAAGGTCTGCCCGAACTGCCAATCAGCGGGCGCCACGTTCCACGAGGTCGACGTCCGGCGGTCGCTGGCCGTGACCCGGAAGGACAGGGACTGGCCCACCAGCACGCCGTTGGTCTGCCAGTTTTGCCCCCAGTTGCGGCTCATCGGAATCCACGCGGTCTTAGTGCCCTTGATGCTCACGCGCACGATGTCCCCTGCGCCGGCGACGTTGGTGATCAGGAGCAGGTTGAAGTACCGGAAACCGTTGATCGTGAACCGGATACCTCCCGCTTTCCGGCAAGGCACCCTGTTTGAAACAAAATTGTTGTAATTATTAAATGTGGAGAAACCGGCTGCGTTGCCCAAGGTTGACCGGTAGTTCCGGTTGCCCGTCGCGTGGGCCTCACACCGGGTACCAAGCGCACTCCCGTAACTATATTTTCCGGTAACCCGTTGGACAGGTTATGGAATTACGAGAGTGCCCCTCCGGTGCACGAGTATTTCTATTGACAAAAATACCCTTATACAAACACTAGGGAAGCCTAAAAGGGCATTCTCGTCAAAGGACCGAAATAGCCTCAAGGATAGCTAGGGGATGGTGTTCTTACCGGCGGTAGTTGACGGGGACGATGCCGGCGACGTACTGGGCGATCTTGAGGAACATGGGCATGGCGAGGTCGAAGTGCGGCCGGGGAGGGTTGCACCACCCGCCGTGGTCATTGGGAAGGGCGAAGTTGGGCGGGCAGAAGTTGGTCGCCGTGATGAGGATGGACGGGTTGCCGGGGAGGCACCACCGGCCGGCCTGGTCAGCGTCGCACTTGAGCTCGAAGCACGCGCCGCAGCTCAGCCCGTTGTTGAAGAGCGCCGTGCTCAGCGCTGCCGTGTTCACGCCGTAGCCCTGGCTGTACAGGTTGCCGTACCCGCACGCGCCGCCTGCACACAAACAGAAATGCAACAGAAAATTAACGAAAATGAAGTTTGATAAGGTGTCGGAGGCGCCGCCACCTGCTCAAATGGCTCACCCATGGTGCCGGAGGCGTCGCTGCCGCCGTAGAAGGTGGCGTGGGCGGTTTCCCAGGGGCCGCCGGAGTAGACGCCGGGGATTCTTGCGGAGCAGAGTGTGAGAAAGCAGATGGCGGCGGCTACGCCGAGAAGCAGCTTCACTGGTGCAGACATTGTCCTTTTTTCCTTTTAGTTTTTAGCTCACTCTCTCTCTCTCTCTCTACTGTGAATTTTGTTAGTGAGATAAAGAGCTTTTTTAGAGAGATAAAATAAATGAGGAGTTTTTTTGGGGGGAATGGGAAACGATGAGGAACGTGCAGGGGTACTTATGGAGGGGAGAGTGGGCCCCAAGTTATTTTTGGGGTCGGATAAATGCGATACGAAACGACGCCGTTTGACTGTATGGGAAATTGTGACTAATAGTAAAAGACAACAAAAGGGAATTAACTAAGGGTATTCAAATCCATCAATTCGTCTTCTACTTCGTATTTGTTTACTAAATGGGTTGATTTAATTTGATTTGGCTCGATTTATCAAATAAATCTACGATCGTAAAGGAATTATTCGTAATCTGATATTCATTCCATTGTTCATTTGAAACCTATAAAAAATAAAATAAATAAATATTTTATGATATAGCTTGACCCGGTTCATTTAATAAACAAGCTCGATTAGGTGTTGAGTTATGCTCTTAAATAAATCCAGCACAAAATTTAACAAAACATGACGAGTTGTGTTCGACGTTCGCAAATAATTCAGTTCAAATATATTTCTACATTTAATATATAAGGTATAACAATGTATTGTTTGAGAATATTAAGCAAGAATTCATTTTTGCATAGCGAATATCCCGGCCAGAGATTATTTGCATTTAAAAGCAAATATTTTTATATTTAATGCTTGTTAGTAATGTATACTCGACTAAAAAAAATGATATACAAATTTAGCGAAAACCTAAGGAATAAGTGGGACCATAGAAAAACAAAAACAATAAATATAATCATTTAAGTAGTATACACGATTTGTTAACTGGAGCTGGAGGGGCCATTTCGTGCCAGAAAGCAAGTTTGAGCAGTTATGTGCAATTAAGTGCTTCATTTCATGCTTCACTCTAAATTTTGATCGGTGCACCTCAAGTGTTGATTAATTGCATTTGGCCCCAGCAATCCCTCTCTCCTCAAGTGTTGATTAATTGCATTTGGCCCCAGCAATCCCTCTCTCCACACCAATCCCAACTGCTCATTGCCTTTGCCAATAAGAGAATATATACAAAAATTTATGTGTGAGCTGAAATAATCGTGGTCGATTCATTTTACATTTAATAAAAAATGAATACTTATGTTATGAAATACTATATATTTTTGGTTAAGTTTTTTCTTTAAGTATAATATTTTTACTTTGAAGTATATACATATGTTGAAAAAATATAAATACTACTTTTATTTATATATATATATATATGGTGAAATTTTCTCTTATTTTGGTATTATATAAGAAATATATGGACTATGTACATAAATAAAAGATGGCATATGTACTATAAATGTTGATGCAATATTTCTATAGTCTTTACGATCTGCACCCTTATTTCAAATAAAAGTACATTAACAGTGTTTCACATAATCAAATAAATATTACCACTTAATAGATATAAATAGAATAAATAATGTTGGGTGTTCACATTAAAATTAGAAGGTAAATATTATGTAATTAATCCGGAAAGTACTATATTACTACATATAGATTCAATTAAACAAGAAAGACAAATACTAACTATGGAAATACAAACATGTACAAAGCCAATTAAGCATAAGCATATAAATTGGTGAGCACAAATATAAAATATCCACATTTGCACATTAAAATGTGTCCACCAATCACTTATTATGATCTAATGGTACTTCAGTTACATACTTAGACATGGCCACGGGTTGGCCCGACCCGTGGCCCGTCCCGTTAACCGGCCAAAAACCGGTCCCGGACCGGTCCGCCCTAGCCGGTTTTTGAACCGGCTCATAATCCCTTAAGGGCCGGTTAAGGGTCATGTGGTACCCATTTTTGACCCGCCTGGCTGGGCCAGTTCCGGGCCGGGTCCAGATTTTCCGACGGCCATAGTTACAATTTTTTTTTATTTTTTATTTTTATTTATTAGATATAAGCGGACCGGTCACGGGCCTAGGTTTTGAGACCCGCCGACCCGCCGGGCCGGGCCATGGCCCGTTGACTGGCCACCTCTATACATACTCATCATTTACGAAATATTAATCTATTGTCACATCAAATGATGAACATATTAACATGTGTTTAACGTGAGCAGAAAACGAAGTTGTAAGCGTGAGAACGAAGTATATATGGAATTATCACATACCAAACAAAATAATAATATTATAGTGCGTCAATCATAATTTTTCAACCAAAATGCATATTTTATTTTATAGGTAATTAAACTTTTTAATAAATATACGTACTTTCTTACTGACATTTCACACTTTGAAAATTAATAAAAACACAAAAATATAACATTTTATAACACAAATAAATATCTTTTGTTATAAAATTATAATAACTCGACCCACCCAACTATTGGACAGTTAAAAAAAAAAATCGTGGAAACAAAAGCCAACACCTAGCTTGACAGCGTTGAGTTAATTCAAAATTAAATAATTAATAGCTTTAAATAGGCAATGTCTCTTTTCCTTTCCAAGTTGTCTGCCTTTTAATGGCTGTTTTAACATTACAAGTAAGTAATTAATTAATTACATGAAACAAACCAATCCCAAATTACATAAAAATAGTACCGACAAGAAAATTCAATTTGGCATCCAACATGATTTATGTCTAATAAGTCACTATTAGAGCGCTAAATAGATTGAACGAAACTCGTATATTAACAAGCTAATATATGTTAAAAATACAAAAATTGTATAAAAATCTTTATCTATGAAGTCTAAAGAGTCTTGACGAACGATCTCGAGTCATCTTGAATCTTATCTAGCTGAACTTACGAGTGGGTCGTTCGTTTGATAGTGCTAGTCATAATATATACATATAAAGAAGATCGAACATGTTAATGTTATTTGAAAGAAGTATATATTGTACCAAAAAAAAAGAAGTATATATTGATTTTAAAGTTGATTGGATGGGTAAAACGATATAATTTTGGTATCGTGTGTATTATGTCTAATTTATTTCAATTATTATATTATTGTAGCACGATTCATGTTAGATATATGCCGAAATGAGAATTTTATTTCTAAGGACCATGAAATGTTTGGACTATATACAAGTGCATATGGCATATTAATTGACAAATAGCGTATAACCATAGTATGATTCCTTGGGACTCCAATCCAGGAAAAAAGAAAATGAAAAAATAGTTTGTTTTCGATCGACAATGGATAAGAAAGGAGAATGTTAAAGAAGTCATTGCTAAAGCTTGGGATGATCCTGTTCAAGGAACACCTCTTGTAAGAGTTCAGAGAAAAATTGCAAATTGCAGATTGGCTTTGCATAATTGGCAGAAGAAGTGGTCAACAAACTCGCCAAAAGCAATTTCTTTTTGCAAATAAAAAATGGAGGAATTAATGAAACAGGGCGGCGACATAAATTGGAAATCTTGGGCTGAGTTGAACATGAAACTTAAACAGGCTTATCAAGCTGAGGAGAGTTTTTGGAAGCAGAAATCACGAGTACAATGGCTGAAAGAAGGCGATCGCAATTCTAAATACTTTCACGCCTGCACAGTTCAAATGAGGAGAACCAATTGCATTGAGAAGCTACAATCTGAAACCACTGGCTTGGTGTGCAACAATAAAGGCGAGGTTTTGTGTGAGATCCAACGGTGGTACAAGGAGCTATTTACCTCAAGTCATCAGGGTGTAAATAATCAAATCCTCGAAGGCATACCTAAATCCATTTCTCCCAGCCAAAACAAGGAGTTTACCAGACCAGTGACATTGGAAGAGGTTCAAAAGGCACCTTTTGATTTGAATCCAAATAAGGCTCCCGGTATTGACGGTATGTCTTCCTTATTCTTTCAATTTTCCTGGGATAAGATTAAAACCTGCCTTTTTGAAGCTGTCTCAGATTTTTTTTTTTTGTGCACAAAATCCCTAAATGTGTCAATCACACCCTTATAACCCTTATTCCCAAAGTTAAAAATCCTACCAAAATTTCTCATTACCGGCCTATCAGCCTTTTGAATGTTGTATATAAGCTGATATCCAAAATCTTAGCTAGTAGATTAAAAGTAGTTATTTCCTCTTGTATTAGCTTAAACCAATCAGCTTTTGTTCCAGGTCGGCAAATTCTTGATAATGTGGTCATAGCTCATGAATGCCTTCATTTCTTGAAAAATCGTAGAAAAGGGAAAAAAAGTTTGTTGCTATCAAGTTGGATATGGCCAAAGCCTTTGATCGAGTAGAATGGAACTTTTTGCTTTCAGTCATGGCTTTTATGGGTTTTGATAATATTTTCCTCAGATGGATCCGTAGTTGTATTAGTTCTGCTCATTTTTCTTTCAATATTGGAGGGGAATCTTGTGGTTTCATTAATTCTACGAGAGGGATTAGACAAGAAGATCCCATATCTCCCTATCTTTTTATCCTCATCTCGGAGGCCTTGTCTAACCTTCTTAAACAAGCTGTTGTCAAGAAAAAATTGCAGGGCATTAAAGTCTGTCGAAAACGGCCTTTGATCTCACATTTGTTCTTCGCTGATGATGCCCTTTTGTTTTGTGATACTTCTTCAAGTTCTATTCAGTGCCTGATGAATATTCTCAGAGATTATTGTCAAGTCTCAGGGCAAATGGTGAATTTCGATAAATCCTCTTGTTTCTTCAGCAAAAACTGTGAGCCACATAAAGGAAGAGACGTGTGCAGATTACTTGGGGGATGAAGGAGCAGAAGAAAGGCAAATACTTGGGACAACCTATGGTTATAGGGAGGTCAAAGAGAGAGGTTTTTCATTATGTTGAAGATGTTTCTCAAGCCAAAATATTGAACTGGAAAGGAAGTTTCTAAGTGCTGCTGGTAAGGAAGTAATGATAAAATCTGTCATTAATGCCTTGCCAGTGTACATCATGTCTTGTTTTAAAATTCCAAAGAAGGTTTGTGAAAATATCAACAGGCAAGCAAGAAATTTATGGTGGGGAGGAGTTGATGAGGGGATTAAGAAGCAAGCTTGGGTCAATTGGGAAAAAATGTGCGCTGTCAAAAATGAAGGAGGGTTGGGATTCAGGAATTTAGAAGTCTTTAATGATGCTCTTTTGGCTAAGCAGTTATGGAGAA